CCTACATATTGTTCAACCAATCAACATTTTTCGTCTGTAGCTGATTCAACAGTCGTAGGATACCAACAACACTAAAATAGTCTTGCGTATATTAGGATCGGCTGCCAACTCGTATCGTGATGGGTATATGGCGTGAATATGATTAACTATGAATTCAACTCCCTGTAAGGAGTATTATTATTCGCATTATAGCATTTAATGTAGACCTACGATCTAGTAGAATTCGAATAAGTTTTCTGGCTTTGCCCATTGTAAGAAATCACCCTTCAATTACTGAAATATGTTTCATAATTTTCCAATAAGTTTCATTATTGTACATTTATATGCACTACATAGTTTATGTTTCTGCTATTTTACCAAAGCAGATAACACTAGAAGAATGGCACTACATGTAAATGATATAATATGTTATTTCTTATGTACAATGTATTTTTGTTATATACTAGGTTTTGCTTTGAAAAAAGCATAGCGAAAAAGTTTATCTAAATTGAGTACAAATTGTACAGGTTAATTGGTGGTTCGGCTGTTAACGATTTCTGCGTTCTATATTGAATGAGATGATTACAGAAAACACTTCAAAAATGGAAGTGGAGGAAAAAGTGTTTCATTCTTGAGTCTGGTTATGATTGGTGTTCTGTTCAGCAAACACACCACACACCAAATTACATAAATACCTTCAGATTCATCCTTTAAACTGCCTTGTTCGCGATAGTTTTGGGCTAATCTCGCAACCCTTGTGAGCAATCAAAATTTTGGTCAAATAGAGAATTTGGTGAACACCTTCTGAGGGTAAAAGACGTTATTTTGATTTCGCACATGTTCTCTCGCTTATAGTTTCTCAAAAACAAGATAGTTTAAAGGGTATGTTCGGCGAAGAGAAGGAACGTTCTCTTCCGCTCTTTTATTGATCCAGAATTCGCTCTCGAAAACCTTAAATTCGCTATTCCTGACTCTTGGATTGTATTTCGTAAATGCCTTTAACCTTTTGTTAATCAAAAAACCTCTTGCTAAAATAGGATTCTGCAAAGCATTTTTCTGCATTCTAATCCTCCTACTTCCCTGATGTTGTTAAAAGAGCGAAAGGACTCAAATTCGAATTGCCATCAATATCAAAGGTCTTGCATGGTCTCCACGATTTGTATCCCGTTTATTACATTACAAATAGTGCTCAAGGTTTATGATGGCCTCGATGATATGAGCATGCAAGTTCGCTAAGCTGCTAATTCAAGCATTCGCATTGTTTGACTATGATACAGTCATTGAAATGGTGTCTTAGAAACTAAGAACTTTCCAATTCCAGAGTCGCTTTTTTCCAATTTTGGACATTCGCAAAAATTCGTCACATATCGTTAATAACGATAGGTAAAGTGTACCTATGTGTACTTACTTGTGTCCGTATACTTTATGGCTAATGTTTACTCATAACTAAGTATTGTTGCTTGTATTCTAATTTTTCAGGATGAAACTTCTACTTGTCACTCTTCTCTTTTCACTAGCTATCACCAACACTATAGCCCAATGGGTTTTCGGCCCGATGCCACCGCCGCCACCGCCGCCACCACCCGGACTCTTCTTTGGCCCGAGACCAATGCCAGGGATGTTCGCACCAGGGATGTTTGGGCCGAGAGGCGGTTTCGGCGGAGGATTCGGAGGACGAGGTGGTATGGGTGGCCGCGGAGGACGTGG